CTGACAGCAGGGAATGTCATCTCTTCCCTCCCCCACATATTATGTTACCTAAAGCTATTCTCTAATGGAAGTAATAATTTTGTGATGAGCACTGAGTGTGAAGGGAATAGTTAGGGGTATAGATTTTTCCATGGAGAAGAAGCAAGCTAAGGACTCCTGGAAAGAAGCAGAAGTCAGTGTTGACTGGGGAAAAGGGATAGAGATTCGAACTTGATTCCATTCTTCATGACTGGGATCAACTTAATATTGCCAAGTCCACTCTTATGGAGGTTGGGGGTGGGATTGGCTCAACAATTCAGGTAATATTCTGTACCACTTTACCTATACTGATAGAGGTAGCAAACCAGGAAAAAGAACTAGAAGAAATTCCATTCATAGTCCCATGATTCCTAGTAAAATAATTGCTCTAACTTCTTTGGAAATTAGCCCTCTTTCTAGTAAAATTTTAGGTCACGTTCAGGACTGTCTGTTAAGTTCATCTATTATACTTATAAAACTCTTGAAATCTTGGGAAGGGGTAGAACTTTCTCTAGTATTTCTGTCTGGCAGTCGCCCACTCACTTATTATTGTGTTAGTCAGTGAAACACAGAATAAAAACATAAACAAATGTTAGATAAATAAATATTTACAATACCTTATTTTCTTCTGTGGCAGCAAAATGGGGAAATGTTTCCTTTAGCAAGAGATTGTGGCTGAGCTAAGTAATTTTTAACTGTAGAAATTTAAAACAGAACATCTAGCGCCGCCCTCTTCTTAGCCACACCCTTTGATTCACATCCTCATCTTGTCATGTTTATTTTGGCCAGAAGCTCAAATAAAAAGACCAAGAATATGATGATTAAGATTTCACCCGGATGACTTAACTATCCACATTTTCCATGTCTGCGCACAGGTAGAGACCTGAATCCTGACAAAGTAAAATATACACTTGCTTGTCTCATGTCTCCTCTAGTCTGCCAACTGGCAATAATGAGAGAGCTGTTCTCCAGTAGATCTTTTATCAGATGCAAAAATAGAAAGCCGCAAATGAGTGGAATAGTAATGGATAATGACATGGAAAATGTCATAAGTGAAACATTTGCTGGTCAACTGCTCTTGTGGTTCTTGCCCAGTGGCCTGTTACTGCCGAGCCTCAAGTGTGACTCCAGTGAGTGCAGGGCCCATTCACCTCGCCCAACGACAAGGGTTAATGCTCTGGACACATGAGCTGCCATTGTCCAGTTCTCTTTCATTTCTTCCTCCATATTTACTAGAAAGAAAAGCAATAGGCTATTGCCTCCTTCTACTTCCATTCACATGGCCATAGAGGAGTGGCAAAAGAAGTAGAGACAGGGATGGACATGGAGGAACAGTCCAGAAGGGACAAGGGGGCAGAAGAGGCCTCTCATTTAGAATGCATTTGGAATACTTGTCTTTATCTTCATGTGGTCTCCATTGATCAACTCCTTCAGCTTTTCATTTTGAATATTGGTATGGAATTTAGAGCAGAATGTTTATCTGGATTTCATCAGGGAATACAACTCTGAGTAGGAAATTCTGTGACACCAGCTGACACATGCTGTAACTATTATTATCCACAGATGCCTCCAGACTATTATTAGCACAAAGCAGCATGTGGAGTTTCTAGATAGAGGCGCTGTTCTTCCTGAGGGGACCCATCACCTCTGCTAAAATACTCCGGTGAAGGTAAAGTTGACTTCCGTGGAATGAAACACATCACTGTAGATTCTGTTGAACGTGCCAAGATATGGTTTCATCTTCTATAGAGTCACAGGCTAATTTTGATTCATTTTCTCCTAAACCTTCTCCAGTTTCCTTTCCCACTTAGCTCTCGATTAGATCCAATGTATAAGCACACTGTCCCTCTAGTTGAAATCATGAGTGAACTTTACTCTGATATCTGTTTGTTGGGGACACACAAGAGCATAGAAACAGCAAGTGACCATACTCTCTTTGGATAACAAAGTACTGATAGCGTGAATTTGTTCATTTGTTGTTACGCATTTCATGTATTTCATATGGAGGGATGAGGACTAGCTATTGAATGAACGGGGAGCAGGGCTGGGAGGAAAAGCTTTGCTGTAGTCCATGCATACTGTTTGATGTTCAGACCACATACAAGAGATCATAAATAGATGCAGTATAAAAAAAAAAGTCTTGACTGGATTAAAAAGATGTGGTACATACACACACTATGGTATATTACTCAGCAATCAAAAAAGATAAACACATGCCTTTTGCAGCAACATGGATGGAGCTGGAAGGCATCATGCTTAGTGAAATAAGCCAGAAAGAAAAAGAAAAATATTGGATGGTTTCACTCACAGCAGGAGCATAAAGGACCGGGGGTGGGGGAAATTAATAATAATGAGCAACGATATGCCAGAGACATTTTACAGGGGTGGAGTGGGGAGTGGGATAAAAAATGGGGGGTGGGAGTGGAGGAGCATGGGACTATGGTAATGGCATATGGGTGATTTATGATGGGAAGCCCACGGGAGTTACAACTTAGATGGGAAAAGGCACAAAATAATGTAAAAATAAACTATTATAAGAAGAAGAAAATTTACCAAAAAAAAGTCTTGAAACTGAGAGACAAATTCCAGGTATATTAATATTGAGTAGAAATTTACAAAAGAAACTGTCCAGAGTAGGCAGCGATGAGTGAGCCGATGTGGGTGTTATCGGTTTGGGGAATGAGGACAGAATAGGTTGATGGAGAGACTTAAGCAACATAATCCTGTTGTTACAGGCCTGGGTGCTAGGAGGCTGGCAGCAATGCCCACCGGGCTCTGTTCCTGGGGAAGACTCTCTTGGTCTGTCAGGCTGCCCACCCTCTACGTCCTCACAAAGTGGGGACAGGCAGTCCTAGTCCTCCACTACCCAAGGAGACCACCTTCATGAAACTAACCCCACTTCCCTCCCAAAGACCTCATTATTTTAGTTTGGGGGGTCGGGGGGGGGACAGGGGAGGCATGAATGTTTTTTTCATGGCAATGACTGAGCATTTCCGAAACTGAAGCAACATACAAGTTTGCAGATGAAACAGCATTCTGCTTATCAACGGCAAAGACCAACTTGTGCGTGACGAGATAATAACATCGTCCTCTTAAAGTGCTGAAGAATGGTGTTTCAAGCCTCACAATGATTTAGAAAATTAATACTTATCACCTTCTGAATGAAACATTATTAAAGTACATAGAAAGGGAATCTAAAAGTAAGTAGGATAATGCAAGAAGCAAGAACCCGTAATTTCAGAGTGTCTGATTAGAGAAAATAAACCATAATTCAAGGTTTAAAAAATTAGCTATGTAATTTTCTGGAATTCTGTGTTTAACCAACTGAGAGTGAGATGGTTTTGTTACCGACACAGATAACAATTAAAATGTCTAGTATTTAGCAAGTACTCTGTAAGCTAAGTATTCTTTTGTTTGTCATGTATGAATTCATTTAACCACTATAGCAAACCTTGTGAGAAAAGCATTATTTCATCTCATTGACTGTGAAGGAAGACTGAAGCCTGGAGAAGCCCCAGTCCTGGCTAGGGGTGTGATGACTGGGAGGTGAGAGGACCAGGGTTTGGATTTCGATGGTCAAGATCTCACGGCCTCCACACTCTGTAGGCCCACCCCTCCTTCCAACCCAGGAAGGGCCGTGGGGCCTGGAATGTATTTCCAGGATCCACTCAGCTTCTGCAGCCAGACTCTGCAGTCAGCTCAGGCTCTCCAAGCTTCAGACTCACTGTCGTCCTCAGGATTTCAGTGACGCGCTGATTCCACCAAGCACTGAACTTCAGATGTTTCAAAGGAGCCACTTGTGTTCCCTCCTCGCACACACCGCATGTTCACACCTCTGAACTCTCAGCTCAGTGACTGTCCCCTTGATTCTCTGTCTGGATGACAGCTGTCCTTGAGGTGTACACACAGGCGACCCCAAATGACCCTGACCCAGATTATTCTGAGTTGATGTGCGTTGGACAGTAGTGAGAAGGCAACTCTGAACCATTTTTCTCAAACCACATCCCACCTCTAATGCTGGGGTCCTGAGAAATTGGGTCAGTTGTCCTCTTTGCTCCTTTTTTTCTGATTCCTTGGGGTGGGGGTGGGGGTCTACCCACAAGTGACCCACATGTCTGATTCCTGGAAACCAAGTTATGAAAAATCTTGTGGTTTATTTTTAAATGTTTATTTTATATATTTATGCATAGAAGAGCTGGAATGTAGGTTAGAGGTTCAGGGGCACGGGAGAGGATTCACCAGAGACATAGTGGGGAGCAGAAGAGGGGACTAACTGAAATACACTGCTGAAAGGAGCAGCAGGTGAGACAGGAGAGGTCTGCTGCGCCATGTGGGTCAGCTCCCTGGCCAGGGATCAAACTCGTGTCACAGTGGCAGCTGATAGCATCATAGTACTGAGACTTAACCCCTTGCACCGCCAGGAAGGGCCCTTAATTTTTATTTTTATGTGGAAGAAATGGGGTGCAGACCAGAAGTGCAGGGTAGGGGGCCGAGAGGATTCACCAGACACAGGGTGGAGAGCAGAACAAGCAGATCTACTGACATACATGTTGAGGGGAGCAATGAGCGAGACAGGCAAGATCTGCTGTGCCATGTGGGTCAGCTCCCTGGTCAGGATCGAACTCAGGCCATGGTAGTGACAGCTCTGAGATTAAACCACTAAGCCACCAGGGACACCCACGTCTTATTCTCTAAGACCTAAAGAGATGACACTAAACAACTGGCTGTGAGGAAATATGTTTATTTTACATACATATATATATATATATATATATATATATATATGGCTTCCAAGAGCAACTACACAAACTTCATTATCAGAGTAAGGACTTGCATTTCCTTACACAGAAAAATAGCTGCTCACCTGCTTCTGAAATTGTGCCAGTTACATTAAATAGACAGAGAGCAACAATATCAAAATTATATAAAATAATAAATAATACAGTAAAGGTTAATACTATGAAATAAACAAATAAGGACTAACTAAATGGTACTCCCATTTTAGGGGACCAAGTGATTAAAAGAGTTGCACTGTTACAGCTGACACTGTCTAGTGATTCTGGGCCTTGTAGTTAGTATATCACAGAAGCTGCACAGAGAAACAGAAGTATGCTGGGGAAAAGTCTCCAAACTTTTGACATGTTTAGCCATTCTGAGGCTAACGACTTACAACATGCTGTGCAACTGGAGACTTCCCATGTTAGGGTGAAGCAAATCTCCCCAGAAACAGGGTACTCATGGTTGCTTTGTCCATGATGAAGAAGAGGAAAGGATGGTCGGCCACGAACTGTGGACCCCCGTGGCCAGTTCTCCCTGTCATCACAGCGCCGGTGCCGGCCGCCGCCTCGGTGCCCTCCTCGTTTACGTCCACGGTGGCTTGATGGAAGACTTGGGACAGAAAGAGGTCGTTCCGCTCTGACATGCCCGAGAAGTTGGCCTGGCCCCTGCTGAAGGCATTCTCCATTCCCATGCTGCTCAGAATGGGTTTGAGCTCATAATGTTCTTCCAGTCTGAACCGGGGCACGTACACCTCAACGTCATCTTCAGCCAGGGTGTCGTTGCTGATCCACTTGTTGAGTTTGTCATAGGTTATTTCTTTTTCCAGCTACAAATCCCCAAAATAAAATAAACTAGTGAGCGCTTGGCAAAGAAAGAAAATAATTTCTATGTCTAATGTTAAAAATCCCTGACTTTAATTACTGTGGGTGATACAAGCACTGAATAGGTGGTAAACATTTCACAGGCTATAGAATAGTTGGCATAGTATAAAGTTTTGAGGGAAGATTGAGGCATGCCAAGTTTACTATCAAGAAATCTGGTATTTCTGAAAGAAAATGAGCACCATTTCCTAAATTACGGACTGTTGCATCATAGTAGCAAGCTTAGCTAGAACTAAAGCTATCACAGTTCAAATGCCTTACCGACTCCAAGCCAGTGGACGATTCACCAACTTTATCTGGAAGCAGCAGGAACATGCTGACACCTCCAGCATAGGGGAGTTCTAGAATCTGAGTCTTTAAGTCTTCAATGTAGCCAATGTTCAGCTTTTGTTGCAAATACATCATCTGCACTTGTTTGCGTTGAGTCTAAAATGATGAAAAAGTATGCGAAAGTTCATACCACCTTGTCAAGAGACTTACCATTAACATAAAATAGCAATCTGTGCTTGAGAGTGAAGAAATATGGTTTTAAAAAATCTACAGAATAAATTATTTGTGTATCCTTACAATGGCTGTGATCTCACTAGATTGTACCAGTTCAAAAGCAATTATTATGACTAATAAATAGGCAATAATAATATTGTAGTAACAGTCCTCAAACATTTGTTCAGTACCTACCACGGGCAAAGAACATTGCAAAACATCAACAAATCCTCCAACCTTTTTGAGTTGGACATTACGATTATCCCACTTTTACTGATCAATAAATGGAACCCATGCAACATGAGCAGCACCATTTAATGGAGATCCCGAATTTGAGTGCAGGTTCACATAATTATAGAGCCTATGGTCTTCATCATCACACATATTGTCTCTCAGAAAATTAGTGAGTCATATCAGTACCTTGAAAGGATCAATCAGCTGTCCAGTGTGCCTAACTCACATAGGAACATTAACTGTTAGGCCCTAATTTTTCTATTTTGTCAAGAGTCCTAAAATGTATGTTAGGAAAATTCATCTTGCTGTCTCATACCGAGTTCACACGGAAAGGATAAAGCCCATTTAATTTCTTCTGAAATGGAGTTTTCCATTTTCCTTTGAAGTAGACAGTATTCACCAGGACCATCTTGGTATCCACATCAACTGAACCTTCAGGTAACAAGTTTGGAATTTTACCTGCAGAAAACAGTATACATGCTCAGATTTTGTGATTAAGAATTGCAGAGTTATTATGATTTCTCGAGTATTTTGAGTTGCCATTAAACTTAGCATCCACATTTGTCAAGCTCTGCAGAGATGTTGGTTTTGAAGCTCATAATTTTGTCTAGATTCAAAAAAAAGCATGAGAGAGAAAACACAGACAGATGTTTTCAAGTGGTTTATAAGATTCAAGATGATTGAAAAAAGAATATAGTTAAAATTTAGAATTACTAGCAAACTTGGAAAGGAGATTTTTTTTTTACATCCTTTTATATTGTTTTCACAAAGCTTTTTTATTCAGAAGGGAGCAAATCAGTCTTTTGGGAGAAAATAGTATCAGGGAGAAACTGTTCCACTCCTGTACTAGGAGGTGAGAGAAAACGTGTCCTGGAAGAGGCTGAGAACACTAGAAGAGACCTTCAGTTGTCAAATAACTGATTTTGTGATAAATTCTATAACAGAGCTAAGTTGAGCAAAGTACCATGACAATACAAATAGAGTCAATGAGTGAGCCAAAGAAGGCTCCAGACTGATAACATCCAAGCATGAGAGATTTTTAAAAAGCTGATCTAAGAAATGCCCAAAGATAGTGACTACCCTCTGCAGTATTTCCACCTCTACAAACATTCTTTTATTTAATCCTCTCAAATACTCTATTAGTGAGAATTATTAGAATGATTTACAAAAAAGACCATTGTGAGAGAAGCTAGTGGCCTCCCCAAGGTCACGTGCTGGTAAGGTTGATTCCCAAGCTCACAAGCTGGCAAGCTAGCCAAGATTCTGCCTCCACAAATCCAACACTTTCCTGTCCAATGCTGGACATGCGCTCAAAAACAAAGAGCACAGTAGTCTGGCCAAGTCCATCACTCTGCTATTTATATCCCCACGCAACTAAAATTCTTGCTTACTGTGGAAATCTCATGTTTCATTTCACGTGATACACATGACAAAAATTTGATCATAACCAACAAAGCTGAAAATTCTCTCAAATTATTCCAAAACGTGGTGAAATAATTAGCCTCTGTGATTAGTTGGCATTCTGGCGATGAGGCTCATTGATTGAGAGCATGCAACAACTGCTTAATGAGAAGATGATTTACGGTATTTTCACAAAGCAAAGCTGTCATGTGCCTTTAATTTTGTATTTTACTTTCATTTTTACTTCTTACAATCCTTATTTTCCCTATTTCCCTTGTGCTAGTGGTTGGTCAGCATTTTAGAACAGTAATTTTACAAAAATATCCATACTGGAAGTGAAAAGCGAAAACAAGTCATCTATTTTTAGAGAAACTATTTTTACTTTTTTAATTCTGCAGAACATGATTCATGTGTGTTTTCTCATTTGGTAGCAAAGAAAACAAAACCCCAAACTGTTGCTTGAAAGAATGATTTAAACAAAGGACTAAAATGAAAATCCATTGTTTTTGTGTTAAGAAACATTTTAAACTGCAAATGAAAAATTGCAGAGTTAGACAAAGGATTAGAAGAAGAAATCCAGTTTCGCCACTAACTGGTAGTGGGATCTTGGTTGAACCAATTAACCTCTGGGTCATGGATTTGGGGTCTACAACCAAAAATGGTGGATTCGGGTAGTGCTTTTCAGGACCTTTCCAATTCTAGTAGCTTCTAAACCTGTGAAATAATCCTCCTTCTGCAATAACCCTCGTAGAAATCACCCCATTTACCTACCAGGAAATTTAAGAGTTTAGAGATGGCTTTCAAAAAACAGATCAGAGTTTCCTAAATAGAACAGGAACTACTTCCTTGGTTTTTACCTTTGGTTTGAGTTTTCACCCAAGCATTAATCTTTTTTCTGGCTTCTTCTGAACATTCTAAGAAGTTGACAGCCTGGGGTTCTGTAGAGTAATATTTCTTAGAAAGTTGCACGTATTCCTTTAAAATAAAACAAAACACAATCCAAAGGTTACATAGAATATATACCAAACAAATTTTGGTGCCATTGTAAATTGCAAAGTTCTGGGCCAGAGAGGAGGCCTGCTAGGGGTTACAGGTGGAGGCTGGCTCTGGGAAGAAGAGACAGTACAATTATAAACATTCTTGACTCCCTTGCTCCCACTTCCTGGCTCCAACTCTCTTGCCCCCCGACTCTCTTTGCTCACAGATACAGAATAAGAGGGGAGTCAGCCTGGGAGAGCCGGATTCCAGATGTCAGCTGTGGTCTCCTGATCTCCTGTTCTGCAAGCGGAACTTTTGTGGCAGGGAGAGGAAGTGAGCCAGACAGAAGGATTCAACCCTGCCCAATGCTTTCAGGGCTGGTGTGGCAAGCTCTCTCTGAATAACCCCTAGGGAACAACTCTGAAGTGAGCTCCGTGCAGGTCTGCGGCTCTGCCACCTTGATGATAGGTTTCACTTACTTCCTTGAAGCCTGCAGACTTATCTCCAAACAGCTTATTGGCGCTTTCCAATAAATACTCCCCTGTGGATGAGTTGATTGCTGAGCTGAGCGACCTGAAGGATGAATGAATTCTCTCTCCAGCTTGGGCCTTTAAGATAGAGAGAAGATTATCTTTATGTAAGCCAATACCATGAGACAAGTTGTTTCTTCAACAGTACTTTGACTTTTCAATACAATAATAGAACGTTGCACTCATGTACTTTTTTCTGGTATTTTAGGAGAAATAATTTAGAACTTACCTTGTTAGCTTTCATGTAACACATCCTTATTAAAAGTAATATTACAGAAGTATTACCAGTAGTACCCTCAGTGGAGTCTTCTTTTTGCTCCAAAATGAAGTGGGACATGTTTTAGGCTTTCATGGAATTCCAAACTCAGATTCCAAGAAAATCTCACTTTTTCATATGTGAAAATTAATAACATGTGTGGACCCATCGCCCCTAGGTGTAACTGCAGGGGCCACGGTGTGTAATACAAAACTCTAAGCTTTGCTCAGAGTCGTCAATGAAAGTGTGGCAAGATTTATGTATATGTTTCTTCTGTAAGTACAGTTTTGTTTTGTATGTGCAGTCCAAGGAGAAAAAGAATTCATCCAGAGTTTGCATTGTAGGATATTTCTGCTGTACTATTAATCATGGCCTCTTCTACAATTTCAAAAAGACAACTTCTTTCCAGTTTTGCCCTGTCTCTGGATTGGATTTTTACAATGCTGTATTCAACATCTCAGAAGACAGCAGGGTTCCTTTCAATTTCCTAAACTTCAACCTGCTAAAAAATTTTAATTACATTAAGATGCTGCCTAAGAAATGCTCTTTGAAAACTTGAAATAACTTCTAAAAGTTGCCCCTCTGGGCATTAGGGTAGATCACGTGTGGAAAACCACAAAAGTGAAGGGGAATTCATTCCTCGGCCTGATTTTGTCACCACTGCGAGAGACACAGGATCTGTCACAACAGTGCCAATGTGAAGAAGAGGACGGGGCCTGCAGGATGGTGACCTGGTCAGTCTCCACAGTGAATGGTCCTCTCCCTGTGGCGGTGGGCTGTGGGTCCTTTGGTAGTGGCTGCCCTATGGGCCCATGGTGGTGACAGGGAGAGACCTCTGTCATGCAAACAACAATTGAAACTAGTAGTAACTCAATAAAAAATATTTTGAAAACAGAATGGTGCTCTCCAACTCCTTCAGACATGGTTCCTGGATGAGAAGCAGATGGGGCAACGGGGTTCCCCAAAAAAGCATGCGGGAGACATCTCCCTATAACCTAATTGAGGAAGGTGTCTGCCAATAGGTACAAGACAATTGCTATTATTTAGCTTGGTAACTGGCATTTAAGGAAATAGAGTAACAGAAAATATATTACTACCTAAGTTGGAATGCATGGATGGGGGGTTGGGGATGAGTGAATGCATGGCTGGATGCATTCACTCAAGTTTGTCTCTCCTTAGCCTCTCTCCTCTGAGAATACATCCATGTGTATATATTCTAGCAGTCTCTCCCGTGGTTTTTAAATAAATAACACATACTCAACCCATGATAGAATGGCGCTAATGGGATTTGGAAACAATCCTGGTCCAAAAATCATAAGTCTGGCTGCAACCCGGCTCTTCCCGTCCTTTTCCATGTGGGATATTTACTTCAGGACTCTGAGCCTTAGTTTCTTTCCGTGAATGAGGGAAGTGCCCTGTCTGACACGATAGTTTTAAAGCAAGAAGATTCTAGAAATAAAATACAAAGGAAATATGAAGAATGAGTCCGTACCTGCAAAATAGCATCAGGGTAAGTGCCCTTCTGGACCTGCTGTGTGAATTCACAACCAGTAAAGTTCCAGGGGGTTCCTCGGTTCGCTTCGTAGGCTCCAACTTTGTTAAACTGAAGCACCTACAATTGAAATTAGAGGACAGGGTTGTGTTTTCAGGCCAAGTTATTTAACATTTAATCCAATGGCTATCCGGCACCTCTTCATGGTTCTATGCTTGGAATTTGAAATTCACTATAATTTAATTCACAAAATACGTGAAATCCAGTATGGTAGCACATAAAATGGATATAGGAGGCCACTGATAGTTAAAAATATGACTGCCAAATTGGATACAATTTTTAGAATATTCTCAAGTTTTATCTTAACAGATACATATATGCAGGCGGCTAGAAAGTTCATAGAAAGGTGGCTGGCTAAGGCTCTAAGAAGTATTAACAATTTTAACAACTACTGCTGCTAACTCTTTACTTACAACTTTTCATTTCCAAACTAATTTTATGAGTGATCCATTTTCATTCTCATTTTGCAAATGAGAAAGTGAGACTCAGCCTAGTCACCTCTACTCATGCAGCACCAATCAGACATTGACAGATCTGTCCCTAAGTCAAAGAGGACCTCTTCCTTCCTTTCAGTAGTGAGTTAACCAAATTCGCCTTTGACTTTTAAAACCTGGATGTGCCACAGAACTAGAAGAAAAACATCACCATCTTGGCACAATCCTACATGATGAAGCACGTTCCAGAAACAGAGATGCCATATCATGCCCAGAGGAATCAATGCATTCATTTTCCTTATCAAAAGCCAAATTTCCAACCAAAAAGAACAAATTCATTTGTCATTTGTTGTCAAAATATATTGCTTCAGATCCCTTTCCATTTTAAAAATCAAGACTCTGGCGGTTTCTGGAAATTTCGATGCAGTTCGTTGCCTTTTTTTTTTTTTCTAATGAAAAAAAAAAGGAAGCTATGTTGCAAACGTTGCTGGTGTCAGGGAGTTGGGCAATTGCGTTTCAGTATAGAGTTCCACCTTCAAGCTGCCATGAACTCAGCCCAACGCATTCTGCCTTGTCCCTCCGGTGGGAGGGGGCCTGGGGTGCTCTCTGGACGACCTCAAGCAAGGCCCATCCTAAGTGGGTCACCTGTACCTGGGAGGATCTCTAGCTACACACTCAACGTATCATTCTCACAGAAACCCGAAAGTTGCCTGTGGCATTTTGGTGTGACTGAAAGCATAGGGCATGCGAGAAATCAGCATCTGTGTTTGAGGCTCTGTGAGGGAAGTTTCATTTATGACGGCTGCCTCTGTGGCGTTGACCTATGAAATAACAGACTCAGGTGACTGTTTAAGGGCTAAAACATTCCCATAGGATGCTTCCCAGGCACTGCTGAAGTAGTTGAATGTATTTGAAGGACCCCAGGCTCATCTAGAAGGTCCCTCTGGCTGACCTTGGGTCCACGGGCCAAGAAAGTGAGGGGCAGTGTTAGCAGAGAAATACCTCACGTGCCAGTTCCAGGAGCTCCAGCCAGCAGGCAGGCCCTGCTCGTATCAGGCTCTGGCTAATGTGCCTGAGGCCCTCTGAAGATGCAGTACACCTCTGGGCGGCTCCCTCCCCCCACCAAGAGTGCTGTGCCCCCAGCTCCAGCTCCGAAACGGTTGTCTTCTTTCTTTTCATGACACTCTCTTAAAAGCCTGAGGAAGAAGCTTTACATGAATGGGGAGCCCAACACAGGACACAGCAGAGGGAAGCAGCCTGAGCCGGCAGTAAGGAAACCTCAGGAGACCCAGCAAAGGTATTTCATTCATGGTGCCTGTCCTTTCATCTGCAAATGGAAGCAGTGCTTCAAACCAGAAGAGAATGGCATGCAAGATACGTTGAAAAGCACACACATTGCATGATTAAAATGTAAGAGGTTGATTAAAATGCCATGATGGTGCAAGGAATTAGAGAGCAGCACTGCAAAGCTATCAGCAGACTTCTCACTCGCTGCTCCCCTCAGCAATGTATTTCATCCACCTGCCTGTTCTGCTCCCCACTCTATCTCTGGTGAATCCTCTCAGCGCCCCTGCACCTCTGGCGGCACCCCAGTTCTGTATGCACAAATAAATAAATCTTTAAAAAAAAAAAAATGAGAGTTTGGCCCTGTTCACTATTTCCAACCTTGTAATTAAGAAACCCCAATTCTCCTTTCTGCCAGCTACAGCTGAGGGTTTTCATATTTGGCTGTTTTGGAGCTTTGAGTCTAAGGAATCTGTGTTGTGATAACATAAAATGAGGCTGACCTTGTAGTCAAGCTATTCTACAGCTCAGGTCAGGAATCATTCACTCCGAATTTGGAGTTTATCAGAAACTTATTGTCTACATGAGCAATAAGGAAACAGGACAGGGGTGTTGCGAAGGATAGACTTGAGCTTCATGTTAAATATCTGCATGTTGATTCTCAACAAGGCACATATGAATGCCCTATCACGCTGTCGTGCAATGTGACTTCCATTTAAAAACACAAACTCACTCTGGCCATCTGGTCTGCAGTGTTACCCCGAGCTCCCAGGTAGACCATGGCCATGGTGGATGAGATGCTCCATGGCGAGAAGAAGAGATTCTGGGAGGCGCTGGTATTTGCCAGATGCTTGAAAAAATTGAGAGCAAAGATTGTGTTGGCCACGTAAAGTTCTTCCATTGTTTCAACCTAGAAGAAAAGGAAGGAAGGGGAAAAAGAGCTTTAAAAGGTGACTCAGGATTTGGGGTGATGTCAGCAGACTGGAACATTTTGTACCCAGCACACAGCAGGTCTCACTCCCTGTTCTTCCACTGTGCATGAGGCAGAGAGTGGGCTTGCTTCATGTCACGTGACCTGTGTAGCCACAAAGGGCCCCAGCGGCGTGCAGGAGCATCACCACCCCGTACTCTTAGTGATTTTAAGCAAGGGGCCCTGCATTTTCCTTTTGACCTGGCTCCTAAAAATTGTACAGCCATCGTGAGCTAGACAGAACAGTTACATGATTAAGTAGCAATAGTTGATAGCATGCCACATAGTAGTAATCAGGAGTGATGACAGCAGTCAACAATCTTTAATATTTACTAAATTCTTACTGTGTAAGATGCTGTTCTGGGTAGTTCACCTAGATCAACCATTAAATTCCTACCCAAACCCTGTGGCGAGACACCGCTATTCCTACTCTATAAACTTCTGCACACCGAGGATAAGAGCAATGACCTGTGCACTCAGCCCTAGGAGGTGGGACTAGGAAATGATTCCAGGGTCATGTTCTCCCGTGCAAATATACATCTTCCCCAAGGTGCACGATGGTTGATCTGCTTTCAAACTTCCTGTTTCTAGAAATGACGGACCCGTCTAGGGGTGGTATTTTTATCCAACCCCACCTAGTGTGCGCAGATCCCACACATGCTCATTCTACAACATTGCTTCCTAAAAGGAGGCGTCATCACTGGGAATGCTGGGCGGCTCCTTTTGCTCTAACTCCACCCGCCTGAGCAGGGAGTCAGTGCCAGGTAGCACTGTGGGTACTCAGGCAGGCAAAACACACACACACACACACACACACACACGGAGCCACCTGGAGACAGGTGGCAGACACACCTTCCGTGACCTAAGGCTCCACATGCAGCCTAGCATTGGGCACACCCAGGGCATGTATGGATGCCTGAGGGAGCTTCCCAGGGAGCACCTCAGCCTATGTTATGCTTGCATGGTGACTTTGAACACACCCTGTAATTATCAAAATATATAAATAGCCCAAACGAAGCTGGCACTCATTATCCTCAGGAAACTGCTGTGACAGTAGCTTCCCGGAGTTGGGGAGGGAGCGGGTGGGAGGGACCCAAAATGCAGAGGTGGGTAGGTCCCCGGGCTCCTTCAGCTGAGCTGCCCAGCCAGGGCCAGTGATCACTCTCTCCCTAATCCTGGGCCATCTGGCGTGGCCACTTCATTCGTGAGTTCTTCTTTTCAAGAAAGTGGTTACAATGTGCTAAAAACTCTCTTTTGAAATACCACCCAACTGAATTTTACCGAGATAAAAATAGTAATTTCAGCAAAAGCTGTCCCTGAAATTCCCCCCAGCGATTCTCCCTCCCTGTTTTTCATGGGCGCTGCAGGCTTTGTAGGTTACACCCTTGTGTGCAGAGAGGTGGAGTGACTTGGCAAGGTCACACTGCAGGGAATGGTACAGGAGTCGAGCAGGTGAAATGCAAAAACTCACGCTGTCCTCGACCCCTCGCTGCCTCACGGGCTGGTGTCTGACTCAGTACTGTGTAGGAGTTTAAGCAAGTCACTATTTTGTAAATACTAGAAAGAGGGAATGAAAGAGGAATCTAGTCAGCCTGTAATTCTGCTTTAAGGCTTATTAAGTAAAAGCTAAATCAGTATTTTTCTTCTTGCTGAGACTAGGTCAATTCAGGAATTTGTTCATTCTATTGTAGTTATCGTCTTACTGAGCAGGTATTGTTTTGGTAAATTATCTCAAAAACTTTTTGGAAATAACAACAATGTGCAATTTAAAGTATTTTTCTATTCCCTTCTGCATAGAGATAAGGATCAGAAAAGTAAATGCAGGCTTTTCCTTCACTGAATTCTTAATAGTAATCTGCATAATCATTCCTTTGACATTAAGAAAGTTTAAGTGTCAAGACAAAATATCAGAGAGGACTTTTAGTGACAAGTTAGGGTATCAGATGGCTTTATAAGGAAGTGAAAAAGTAAATAAGTGGGCCCTCCCTGGTGATGCAGCGGGTTAAAGCACAGCACTGAGAAGCTAAAGCCACTTCCTCATGAGTTCGATCCCCGCCTGCCCCGGAGGTGACCACATGGCGCGGCAGACCTCTCCTGACCCGCCCGCTGCTCCCCTCAGCAGTGTACCTCGTCGATCTGCCTGTTCTGCTCCCCACTCTGTCTCTGTCTCTCACCCTCCGTATCTCTGGCGTGTACCCCAGCTCTGTATGAATAAATTAAAAAAGTAAATCTTTAAAAAAAAAAGTAAATAAGAACAGGACTCAATGGTCCCAGATGCATTTACCTCTTTAAAATAGTCTAAATTTTGTTTTTAATATAATTAGCTTCATTTAACATAAGACTGAACATCTCCAGGCTGGGCTGCAGTTACCATGCTCCTTTAGCCAGCTCAGTTTGCTTTGTCTGTGTCATTACCCAGCTGGGAAAGCCTCGTAATTCCTGTTCTACCAATGCAGATACAGAAATGGAAATCTCCACAGGCAAGACTGAGTCCCAACTTCTGCCTCCAAGCCCGACACATTTCCTACACACCTATCTCAGGTTTGAGAAGGTTCTAGAAATCTGTGAAGGCAGTGTTTCCTGGTTCCAGGACAAGTCCAGGTCTTACATTTGGATGCAATCTGCCTACAACTGTGCAAAACTGAAATCACACAGTGACATCGAATATCTGAATCTCCCCGAACAGGTAACACCTGTCGTGAGTTTCTTCATGTGCTGTAAGTTATACAACTTCATTAACTTCCAGCATAGATGCTCCTAATTACTGGTTGCTGTTACCATATGGGAAGAACGTGTGGAAAACTGACATGGGGCTCTGAGTCGCTCCTGTCATGCCTGTAACACAGGTTGACAAATGCGCCACTGAAACTTGGCGCAGGCAGCGAAGAGCAGCACAGGCCCAGAAACAGCACAGTCCCTCAGCTCGCTGCCCTGGGTGGAAAGTCTGACTGCTGCGGCACTTAGGACAATTTTCTGTGTGTGACTCACGCCAATTATTTTAACATTGACCCCTCAAATGAATGAGAATAAAGACCAAACAATAGCTCCAAAGAAACTTCTCACCAACAATTACCACATTTCCCCTTACCACATTTCCCCACACACACAAAATTAAAAGCAGCTTCTGTTACTTGATGACTTTCATAAGGAATAATTGGCTGCCGAGAGGTGATTAAATTATAGATTAGAGTTTTCAGTCACTTCAATCGTTTAGCTGATTCTTTTACTAAACAGACAGATCATTGAACACATTTAATAAACTGATTCTGATATTGAAATGACCCAATCCAGAATGCTGCTTAATTTCTGCCATTTCTGATTGCTTTAGATGAACATTGAGTCATCTTTGATGCTTTTATTACATTGTATACCATTCTTAGATTACTTTCAATTGTTTGAATTAGAGCATTTCAATTGCTCTAGCAGTTTCCATCAAATTCAGTGTGTCAAAACAAATATGCATATCCTAGCCTTGAAATCACAACTTGACTATCCATTTTGATATTCTTAATGATCTATAGATATTTTCCAGCTGCTGAGATATTGAATGCCTTGCTGTACATTCGATTCAAATCTTGAACTAAAATATTTTCAGGCAAACCAACAATTGAACAAGAAAACACACCTCTAAATTTTTCCTTATCCTCTAAGGATAAAGAAAATTTCCAAAATAGTAATAACACTAGTACAAAGGAAAACAAAGAACCGAAACCATATATTTCATCAAGACGGCCATAGGAATGGCTGAAATACCTGTCGTCCCCTGAGGTTCTAGATGACAAGGAAGACTTCTCCGGGAGTTACTGGAGAACAGACATGGTGAGGACTGTTTATAAAGCTTTGACCCACCCACAGAGCTTTTTTTTTTTTCCCTCTCTCTCTTTCTAATCTGTGATTGGAGTGATTCAACATTTTACCAGAAAGTCATCACAAAGATGTGTTTGCTTGCTTAGGTGCCATTTAGGAAATTGTGGTGAGAATGATGTCACTCAGGAGCTGAAGAATTTGGCAATATTTATACATGTCTGTTAAAATCAGCTCAAATCTGCCAGCCCAGTTTCAAGGCACTCTCTTCTACACACCTGTGCTTAAAGACTACCCAATTCTAGGAATATTCCTCCTACCTTACACAGCCATGGCCTCTAGGCTTGTTACAATGAAGAGACAATGCAACACTTTTACTCATGAGTGGAGACAGCCCCCAAGAAACTCTTCAAGCATAGGAAGAGCAAAACATTCTCTATTCATTCTGTAGTTCTATTTTTCTGTATTTCTTCATTTCTATTTTCTATACTTGTTTTTTTTGTATTTTAAACTTGCCTGACATTTACCTGTTATGATTTCTTAAACAATTCCAGGTTCCACCCTAATCCCCTGGAACAAGCCACACCCAAAGAGGTTTATGTTTGTGCTTGATTAGAACATACAGCTAATCTTTTATTAAGAAGTAAAATTCCATAGAACACTTTAGATGATTTATAACTGGGTAAAAATCATAGGTGCTGAGTGGATGTTAGGACTTCAAACCATGAGTTAAAAAATGACTATAGATTTTTAGACACAGCAAAGATATTTTTGGGGATAAAAACAGATAAGAGGTGCACGATGGAGTAGAAACTGAAGTCTCCGTTGTTAGCATTCACTGGAAAGTGTGAAAAGCCCTTTGTGAGGATGGCTCTTTCCTGTGGTGTATGTGTAGGAAACCCACAAAGGGACTGGGATGAAGAGACATGTATTTGTTCTCTGCTGGTGTCACAAATCCTGCATCTGTGCCTGGAGAGCTGTGTCAACCCTCTGCAGTGTCACTGAGGAGAAGCCCACCTGAGCTCATCTCAGCTTGACTGGGATCCACAGAAACAGAGAGAGCTAACCTGGTCCTCACTGATGGCATGTCGTGCACCACTTAACCCACAACCCTCATTATTACTAGA